TTTTATCTTTTAAAAATATTTTTTAAATCTTTTGTCTTTTTTCATTTCAAATGTTTAAATGTTGTCCTTTGTTGTTATATTGCTTTCTTTTCCTGTTGGCTTTTTAGAAACTGCTTTGTGATTTATTCATTTTTAAAAAAATTAGAAACAGTATACAAATACTTGAATGGATTAAAATTAATAAATGGTTTAGGTGCAGGATACCTTAAAGACTGTGTCCCAGGATACCTTAATTGCCATATCATTCTGGCTCATATGTTGGTAGATCCTAATAAAGCCATTGCCCGGTTCTGAGTTTTAAAATGTTAGTGACTGAGTTGGGTTTAGATGGGTTTGTGGGTGGGAGGGTGGGAGAGTGCTGATTAATTAACTGATAAGTTTGCCATCTTCTTTTATGGACAGTGGCTCTATGAATTAACAGCTGAGCAACAGGCAGTGCTTTGTTGGGACTGACTTATTCAGCTTCTAATCTCTATCTTGGAACTAAGTCCATAAGTTAGAGGATCGTCCATACTTCTGCATGACTGGGGCTTAGAAAGCATGAGTCTAAGTGGGTTTTCCGGTTAGCCCACTTTCTAGGCACGGGTTGAAGCACTTTTGTCTTTGCCCTGCCACTGTCTCCTGGAAAACCTGCTTGTTAGTTCTAAATTGGAACAAACAACAACCCCAATTGCTCTTTGTTCTGATTCAGTGCCATATAAGCCAGCTCCTATGAGCCAAGGCAGTCCTGTCCCCCCCCTGCAATTATTTTTTGTAGGGGTTGGGCCCTCTCAATGTTCAGAGAGCATTCAGCAATGCCCCCTTGCTCCTCACAATGCTGCACATGCAATGTCAAGAAGTTGCGTCTGGCTGCCTCAGTCAACTTGAGAAGATGGCACCTCTGTTCAGTGTTAAAGATCAGGTTTCCCTGGGGGAAAGCTGTGGGGCAAACAAAAGGGTGGATAAGCCCTTAATCTCGTGACTACAACATCCAGCCTATGATTTTAACAACAACAAAAAGAATCCTCATCTTTCGCCAGTCCCGTGCTATCTGCAGCATGAGTGGAAGAGATCTGAACCACTCAAAGGCTTGCAACCATTTTTGTGACATTTTAGTGGGCTCTTATTCAGGCATTTTCCACCTGTGGATTTTCTTAAGCCTCTTAAACTTAAATAACCCTAGAAAAAGTGGGGAATGTGGAATGTGGAATATCAGTGTGGTGAATAGACAACGTTACATGCCCGTTGTGTGGCGCTGCCACAGAGAATAATTTTTCAGCAGGCTTCATGTGGGGTAGTAACATTTGAATTAGCTCCACAAATGAGTCGATCAAGTAGATGGAAAACATGGCAGTGGAAGAATGGCAGGATTTTCTCTCATTAACATTTTGACTGGCCACCCACCACACAAACGGCTTTATACTTACTGCAGAAAAGTTGAGATCTCTATCATTTGCCAGCAAGATATCAAAAATGATTGCAAATAAATACATGAAATCCATGAACCCAGCAAGCCTTCCGCAGTTGGCAGGAGCTCATCGGCGCAGCTTTTGATTGTGAACGAGGCAGAAATATTGCCAGGGTTTTGCTGTGTGTTGTTTACCCAGCATGCCTGCGCAGCCCTTTCACACTCAAAGGAAGGTGAATAATATTTAACAGAACATTTAATTTCAACTGAGTGGAAATGGTCTTGTCTCCATTACACCTGGTGCTCATGTGCATATAATTGTTTTTGGACTGGATGGTGCTGAATTATGGATATAGTAGGAAGGGTAATTATGCATATCGTCAGGGTAATGCCCAATGGGCAAGTACTTGGCGGAGGGGAAATGCTATCTTTCATTATGTATGGTAATAACAAGCCACAATGAAACAGCAAGGTAGAGAAGAATGTGCCAGCCCTTCACAAAAGCATCGCTTGCTTCTTTGTGAACTGTACAAAATTTTCAGGGGAAGGGCTGTAGCTCAGTGGTAAAGCATTTGCCTTGGGTGCAAAGGGTCCCAGGTTCAATCCCTGACATCTCCAGGCAGGGCTGAAGTAGATCCTGGAGATCCACTGCCAATATTGATGAGTCTTGAGTGCAGCTTCTTATGTTCCTATGTAAAATATTGAGGTGCCAGGACAGGATCTGCTAATGACCTGCCATGGATTCAGGGTGGGAATGTGTCCTTCTCTGCAGGGACAATCCTCTGTTTGAATGGATCCTCTGTTGGACAGTTGTCTGGAAAAAGTGCAGTTAAAGATAAGTAGGGCCTTGAAGGTACCATTAGTGGTTAGCATCTGGAATGAATAAGCACACCAGTCACTAGGTGACTATCTTCTGCATCATGGTGAGATGTGCTATGTTCTATTTACATTATAGTAATTATCTCTACATTTCCATCTTTTTGTACAAATAAGCAGTCTGTATCCTCGTTTTTGGTGGCATGTAATTACCTACATAGAGTTTTGGGATGGATGGCACCTGTGCACTTCACAGCAAACTGACAACCTTGGAGGACCAGCTAGATGCTGGTAGGGTTAGGTAACTGCTTCCTTCACCCTAGGAGCCCAGTTCTTTTCAGGGCTAAAGATATGCATGAAAACCTATGACTCAGCTACACAGCTGCACATAAAATGTGTTTTAAATGTGTTGTCAAGTGCAATATACAAACGTGGCACCTAGATGGTGACAGTGAGCTATGCAAAATTCAATGTGTTTTTCAAAACTTCTTTTTTTTAAAGCATTTTCACAGTGTTTTTTATGTGTGTAGATTCCACCCTGGAAATAATGGGAAGCCTCCAGAAAGTAGAAGGAACATTATGTGCCAGAGCCATCTAGTCTTTTTCTCTCAGAGACTGGGTTCTGGCTACTACTGCTTCTTTCCATTCCAGCCAATGGGAGAGAGGAGGTGTGCTCATCAAATAGCTTAATGCCAATACTAAGGATGCTATCCCACAAGAGATAATGGCAGGCTCTGGATCGTGGCTTGGGTGGAAGGCTGAAAATGAGACCGTTGTGTGTTGCCAAAAGGAAACCAGATAAGGGCTCAGTTCTGCCACCCCTCATACAACCGACTACATAAAAACAGTCTTGTGGCTTCGTGTGTATGGATGGCTCTACACTGTTTCCTATTTGCAAGACCTGGAGCTTCATTTTCCAAGCAGTCACAATCTTGGGAATGCTGTTTCATAAAATGGGTTTGTCCACCCGATTACCACTGAACTGTGAGCCCACAGACTCCTACAGGTGATCATTTGGGGACCAGCGAAAGACGGACCAGGCCAAACCATTAACTGGGCCAACTAATGAATGGCAAGAGAAAGATGCAATTTTCCACTGAAAATGGAAACAACTTTGAGCCCTAAAATCACTCACTCTTCTAGAACTTGTGGACACGTTAAAGATTAATTCTTGCTTAACCGTGAATCCTTTAAAATAATCTGCCTGACAGAACAGTAAATTATCATCTTGGCCGTCTTACCAATCAGTAGACTGTGAAACTATAAACAGTTTTCATTCACTTGAAAAAAAGAAAATCTGTGATAACTGTGACTCTGGAACACTGATTGAAAATAAATGAATGCTGCACTCCAAAAACACTTGTAGATTTAAAGGGATCACAGATTAACATGTTGTTGGCATCTTTCATGCTGTAATGTTACTTGAGACAATGGATTAAAGGAAGGAAGCATTCATTAGAATGTGGTAATGAATAATTGTGCTGAAAAGAAGGATAATATCACCACCACCATTATAATTATTTTCCAGAAGGCTAGTGTGTTGGAACAAACACTTTAGAACTTTAAATATTATATATCCATAAGTTTTAGTGGAATGATGGTGATTTGCTATGAAACAGCAACTGTTATCTGATGGTCTCTGATTGTACTTTTTAATGTGTTTTTAAAATTATACATAGATATTATTGTGAACTGCTTTGATATTTTTATATATTTTATGTGTTATATGTTATATATATATATATATATATATATTAAAATGAAAATAGAGGCAGAGCTCCACCACTGCACCTGAACCACACCAACCTCCCCGCTGCTTCCCCCTCTCCATCCTGGTAAACCCATTTCAGGAAGGCAGCATTGCAGTTCCACCCCACCAGCATGTAACTATGCACACACAGGGCTCTGTACATAAATTAGAACCTGTAAGCTCTGCCTTGAGGTAGGGTATGTATAAACCAGGCATCCCCAAACTCGGCCTTCCAGATGTTTTGGGACTACAACTCCCATCATCCCTAGCTAAGAGGACCAGTGGTCAGGGATGATGGGGATTGTAGTCCCAAAACATATGGAGGGCCAAGTTTGGGGATTCCTGGTATAAACAAACAAGCCAATAAATAAATGTCTATACCAGGCTTCCTCAACCTTGGCCCTCCAAATGTTTTGAGACTACAATTCCCATCATCCCTTACCACTGGTCCTGCTAGCTAAGGATCATGGGAGTTGTAGGCCAAAAACATCTGGAGGGCCGAGGTTGAGGAAGTATGGTCTATAACCTGGTTTCACTTACTTGAGAGACCAGACCAGGTGATTTAGAAATCAAAATTCTGGAGACAAATTTGGTTGAGAAGTTCAAAAGTATCCCAAGTGATCTTAGCAATTTTCAGTGGCAACTCTGGTATCACATGAAACTAAAGCTGACTTGGTTCAAAAATTCATCATGACCAGAATGGTAACAACAACAACATTTCTCTAGTCGTATACGATTGATTGCGCTGGAGTTACGGTATATATAGTCAATAATGTTGAAGAGCCATTAAAGCTGCATATCTATACCCACTTAAAAAGGGAGGAAACATCACCAAGTAGACATGCATTGGGTTGCATTGTAAATCTGCGAAATCCTAAACATCTCTACTCAAAAGTAAGTCACATTGAATTTAATGGAGCATAAGATTGCAGCCTAAGGTATTAAAAATTATTCCAAAGATATGAAAAGTGTGACGTGAATCTAATGCAAAAGTTTAACATCGTAGAATGTTTACCATGCATTTGATAAAAAACTTTTAATTTACAGATGGCTATCCTCAAGAAGAAATGATTTATAGATGGAGAAAAAACTCAGTAGAAGCTGCAGACCAGAAATCCTGGAGACTCTATCAGTTTGACTTCATGGGTCTCAGAAATACCTCTGATATTGTGCAAACATCTGCAGGTAGGTACAATGCAATAACAATGAACTTTCTGGTCTAAAGGTTTAGGAGTTCAGTACAGCCCTTTCCTACATCAATAAATGTGAAACGTGGGTCAGTATAACCAGCACAGTATTGAAAAGTGGGCAGTCATTGCCTTTAGTAGTCCACATATTGTTGGACTCAAACTTTCATCATCCATGACCATTGGCCATGACTGCCAGGGCTGATAAGAGAGTCCAACAGGGTCATAGGTTCCCTTGCCATGGAATAAGAGAAAATACTTCCCCAGGAAACAATTAACTTTTACTGCTACAAGCTATGGTGATGGCCCTTAGTGCATATTTTTTTTTAAGAGTTGGATAAATTAATGGGAGATCAACCTATCAGCTGCTGTCAAACTTGGAAGCTCAATGAATGAAGCTCCGTTTACGGAGATAGTATGCCTTCAACAACCAGATGCTAGGCATGGCAACCATCTTTGTGTCCTATGTGTATGCTTCCAGAGACATCTGGCTGGTTTCTGCTGGAACAGCATCCTGGATTCAATGGACTTGGTCAGACCCAGCAGGACCATTCGAATGTTTCTATGTTGTCAGCTTGACAGCCCTTGCCATCTGTCACATTGAAGGAGAGAGTTAGGATTCTCATACACAGTCTGTTGCTGTACAGAAACATTTCCCTGCTTGAAAGTGTCATGCCCAGTTGAATAGCCCAGTCTAATGAGATCTCCTAGCACTAGTCATTGGAACCCAGACACCTGTGGACCGCATCACAATAGGGTCATAGCACCTGCATCAAGATCCAATCCCAGCTCAATAGTTGGCGTACCAATAGACCTTTGCTGACATATCAAACAACATGCTTTTATGTTCTTATGATGCTTGCCCTCTATGTGCTGTGTGTGAGCTGCATAAGGATGTCTTTATGAGCTTGGCCAGGATAGGGCAAAGCTGAGCTGTGTGGTGGGCTGTGGACAAGATGTGTTTAGGGGTTGTGGGGGGCACTGTGGGTTAAACCACAGAGCCTAGGACTTGACGATCAGAAGGTTGGCGGTTCGAATCCCCGCGACGGGGTGAGCTCCCGTTGCTCGGTCCCTGCTCCTGCCAACCTAGCAGTTCGAAAGCACGTCAAAGTGCAAGTAGATAAATAGGTACCGCTCCGGCGGGAAGGTAAACGGCGTTTCCGTGCACTGCTCTGGTTCGCCAGAAGCGGCTTAGTCATGCTGGCCACATGACCCGGAAGCTGTTCGCCAGCTTAGTCATGCTGGCCAGCTCCCTTGGCTAATAAAGCGAGATGAGCGCTGCAACCCCAGAGTCGGTCACGACTGGACCTAATGGTCAGGGGTCCCTTTACCTTTACTAGCTACGATCAGGCTCAAAAGGGATTTTCCTTTTTTAAAAATAAATAATATTTATTAAAGTTTCAAACAAAATTACAGTAATACAAAAAAAAACAAAAAGAGAAAAAGAGAAAATAAAATACAAAAAACAGAAAAAATAGAATAACAATTAAAAACAAATCAGTATTTCCATATCTTGTCTTTCATTCACTTATTTCCTGGACCTCCTCACACCTCCCTTTTTTGCATCCCAAATCAGTTAATTAATTCAGCAAATCCTTTCCCTTTTTGTTCTTATCTCAATCCTTGATCTTAGTATATTATTACTTCAAGTTCCCATCTATTAACAATCCATTTTTACATAAACCTTAATAACATTGCTGCTAAAACCACTTAACTTCATTCCAACATCATTCTAACATTCATTAATTTTGCAATATTTCTGTAGATAGTCTTTAAATTTCTTCCAATCTTCTTCCACCGACTCTTCTCCCTGGTCTCGGATTCTGCCGGTCATCTCCGCCAGTTCCATGTAGTCCATCACCTTCATCTGCCATTCTTCCAGTGTGGGTAGATCTTGTGTCTTCCAATACTTTGCAATAAGTATTCTCGCTGCTGTTGTAGCATACATAAAGAAAGTTCTATCCTTCTTTGGCACCAAATTGGCCGACAATGCCCAGGAGAAAGGCCTCTGGTTTCTTCAGGAAGGTATATTTAAATACCTTTTTCATTTCATTATATATCATCTCCCAGAAAGCCTTAATCCTTGGGCACGTCCACCAAAGGTGAAAGAATGTCCCTTCAGTTTCTTTACATTTCCAACACTTATTGTCGGGCAAATGATAGATTTTTGCAAGCTTGACTGGTGTCATGTACCACCTGTATATCATTTTCATAATATTCTCTCTTAAGGCATTACATGCCATAAACTTCATACCTGTGGTCCATAACTGTTCCCAGTCAGCCATCATAATGTTATGTCCAACATCTTGTGCCCATTTAATCATAGCAGATTTCACCGTTTCATCCTGAGTATTCCATTTCAACAGCAAGTTATACATTCTTGACAAAGTCTTAGTTTGGGGATCTAACAGTTCTGTTTCCAATTTTGATTTTTCCACCTGGAAGCCAATTTTCTTATCCGCATTGAATGCCTCCATTATTTGATAATAATGAAGCCAATCTCGCACTTTATTTTTTAGTTTTTCAAAGCTCTGCAATTTCAATTTATCTCCCTCTTGTTCCAAAATTTCCCAATATTTCGGCCATTTGGCCTCCATATTGAGCTTTTTCTGAGCCTTCGCTTCCATCGGTGACAACCACCTTGGGGTTTTATTTTCAAGTAAGTCCTTATATCTTATCCAGACATTAAACAATGCTTTCCTGACAATATGGTTTTTAAATGCTTTATGTGCTTTGACCTTATCATACCACAGATATGCATGCCACCCAAATACATTGTTAAAACCTTCTAAGTCCAAAATGTCTGTGTTTTCAAGAAGCAGCCAATCTCTCAGCCAGCAAAATGCGGCTGACTCATCATAAAGTTTAAGGTCTGGTAGGGCAAATCCACCTCTTTCTTTTGCATCCGTTAGTATTTTAAATTTTATTCTAGGCTTCTTGCCCTGCCAGACAAATCTAGAAATATCTCTCTGCCACTTCTTGAAACAATCCATTTTATCCAAAATTTGCAATGTTTGAAACAAAAACAACATTCTTGGCAATACATTCATTTTTATCACAGCTATACAGCCTAGCAGTGAAAGCTTCAAATTTGACCATATTTCTAAATCGTTTTTCACTTCCACCCAGCATTTCTCATAGTTGTCTTTAAATAGGTTCACATTCTTAGCTGTCATATTAACCCCCAGGTATTTCACTTTCTTAACCAATGTCAAACCTGTCTCCTTCTGAAACCTCTCTCTCTCTCAATCGCTGTTAGATTTTTCTCTAAAACCTTAGTTTTTAACTTATTCAACTTAAATCCTGCAACTTGACCAAATTCTTGAATCAATTCCAATACTCTTTTAGTACTAGATTCTGGCTCCTGTAATGTCAATACTAAATCATCTGCAAATGCTGTCAATTTGTATTGTTTAGCTCCGACTTGTATACCTTTAACCAATTGGTCCCTTCTAATCATATTTAAAAGGACCTCCAGGACCGATATAAAAAGCTCTGCTGGGAATATCACAAACAAACAAAGGAATTCCCAAGGCATTAATGCAAACAATAAATGTCCTACATGCTTCAATGCAGGTCTTTTTCAGAGCATATGCATACAATGCTTTAATATGAAATTTATTATACATGGCAGAGCTTGTATATGAAATTGAGGTGTGGTGGGCTTCACTGCTGCACCCTCCCAGCTTGGCCCCGTGGCCCCTTCCACGCCTTACTTTAAGAGGGGCAGGATGATGCACCATCAGCAAGAAAGAAAGAAAAAAGAAAAAGTCTAACGCTGATGTTGGCACTGTCCATTTAAATGTTCTCACAATCCCTCTGGACCCTCGATGTAGTGTCACCCAGGAGTGAGGAAATTAAAATAGCATATGCCAGGCACATCATTGAGAAGAGGACAGGTCCTATGTGACTGTAGTGATATTTCGGATTAGCGGCAGGGTGATCAGTGGGTCCTCCTGAGAATTCAGTGGCAGGAGCAGCACCCACCCTTTCTTGGTAACCTGAAGCAACTCTGGCATTGGGGAAGCCTGCTAAGGAGCCCAGCCTCATCCCACCCTGCCCCACTGACTGCTACTGAGCCTAAGCTGATGGGTAGCAAAAAGTACCTTGCGAATAACTCCTAGGACTTAAACCTAATGTTGTGTAATGAAATATCTGCTGCACTTGGTAGACTGAAAATCTCATTCAAGCTAAGCACCATCTAAAAGTTATAAATGACTCTGAAGTATGTTAGATGGATCAATATGTCACGGCAAGTCCTACAGCCATGCATTGTCAGTAACAGTCTGCTAATTTAATATGAAGTGATGGATTCTTCAAAGATGAAATTAAACAGATCAAGCTTTCCCTATTGGGACACATTGCACAGAAAGAACAAAACACCCATCTGCAAGTCAATGATTTATGGGCTCCCCATTCACATCAATAATGCATCTTTGTGGTTAAAGACCATTTCCTCGCTAAAATGCAATTAACATATTACTAAATCTTGTGATTATATGGTTCAGTTGAAGTGATCATTAACAAATGAAGCCAATATAAAAGCAGCGTTCTAACGTTTTGTGAGGAAATTTGAACGCCGGGATGTAAGGATGTGTTTCTGACCTGGAACGTGAGCTCTGTATGTTACCAAGATGGAGGCTAGCGTTTTGAAAGCAGGGGGCATTCTCCTCCTCCCTGTCACTTACAGGCCCTGTGTGTTGATGCCTCTGAAGTAGGGCTGAGGAAGATTCCAGTTTGCTCCGTGTTTGGAGCAAACCTTCCATTCACAGATCAGAACATTGATCTGAATATTAAGCCACATGATCATTGGCCTGAGATTTACTTACAGAATGGTCTGAGGGCTGCCTCGTTCTTTCTTTTAGCTTTTGGAGCAGCACCATGACTGCATTCTAAAACATGTCTTTGAAATTGCTCCCAAGAAGTGATTGCATGCAGAAATGTAAGAGATTGAATTTAAGATAGGAAAATCGAGAAACCCAAATTAACTGATGTGTC